TCCCACCGGCACTCATCCGACCACACCCACCCGGCACCACCGCCAACCCCACACACCGATACCGTGGCGACGCCCACCACCAACCACACCATCGCCACCACACACATGCACCTACAACCCCCACCTGAGTCCACCTCGTCCTCTTGGAACGGCTTGTAAGACATCATCAGCCGAACCGCGCCCTGGGTGCGCTCGCCTGCACCCGGGCAACAAGGGAGGGCGGCGGCGCGGCAGGAATTCAGAGGCGGGCGATAGAGAGGGGCGGGCGGGCTTGATGGCGGCAGCATGAGTGTGCACGCACCAGGCGTCTCAACAGGCTGGGACAGCAACAGCACAGCAGGCTCTCAGCCTCGCGCAGCAGCATTCCGCGACACAGCGCAGCGCAGCGGAGCGCAGCGCAGCGTGCCGCACCCGGCATGCTGCTCTCCACCGGCAGCCAGACGTCGGTGGTGCCGTCTGACGCCAGCTGGCGCAGCTGGAAGGAGGCGCGGCCGACCTCGGTGCGCCCCGTCATGGGCGAGTCGCCGATCCAGATGTCCAAAGACTGCGGCGGTGGGCAGAGGTGGATGATGTTAGAAGCGCCATGGTGGATGATGCCAGGTGTATGTGGTGCTGAATGAGGTGGGTGATGGCGGGGTGTTTGCACAACTGTCTGTGGTGTAACGCGCGTGTGCGCGTTTGTGGCAACGAGGAAGGAGCGCTGGGACACACAGCCCGGCCCAGCAACCACAGCGCAGCACAGCGCGGCACAGCAACCACAGCGCACCTGCGCCAAGGGGTCCTCCACCAGGAACTGGAAGTCCTGGTTCCACACGGGGGCGCGGTGCCGCCCCGCGTGGCTCGTGTCGTCGTCGCGCCGAGACTGCGGCAGGTAGCGCGCGAGGGAGGTGGCGGAGGGGCGTGGGTGTGCATGGCAAGTGGAGTGGGGCAAGTGGGGCAATGGCAGGGGAAGGTGCGAGGAAGAGGCGAGGGCATGGTGCTGGGTAGACCAGGGTAGGGGCACAAGGAATGTAGTTCGCTGCCTGCCCGCCCACCTGTACCGCCTGCGACCCCAGCGTGATGCGGCAGTATGGGTTGCTCTGCCAGGGGAAGCCCCACACGGGCAGGTCGCGAGCCTCGTGCAGGGTCACCTGCATGGGGAAGGGGCGCGGCCGTGGGTGGCGGCAGCAACGAGCCAGACCCACTCGCTAGCAGCCACCCCAGCGCGGCAGGGGCAGGCAGCAGGGCAGGGGCGGCAGGCAGGCCTGGTCGCAAGCGCGGCAAAACAAACCACAGCAAAACAAACACGAGCCAAGTCTCCCCAGGAGCAGCGCCTCCCAGCGCCGCTTGCCTGCAGTTCGCCCTGGAACAAGTCTGGCAGCGACACGCCGCCTGCCGCGCCCTGCGGCCCCAGCGGCAGCGCCGCCAGCAGCGCATGCTCCAGCGCGTCTGCCTGCAGCACCGCCGAGGCCACCGCACGCATCACGGCGTCGCGCCCCACCGCTGCCTCGGCCACTGCAGCGCAGCGGGAGGTGGGCGGCCAATGCGAGAGGTCAGTCGAGAGGGAGGTGCACGCAGGCTGCCGCCGCCAGCGTCAGAAGCTGCCGCTGCTGCTTGGCCAGGGGACTGGGGAGGCCCAGCCCCAGCCCCAGCAGGCCGCTCCCGCTCAGCGCACAAGGCCTTCGGCCCGCAAACCATGCAGCACAGACACAGCATGGCACAGAACAGAACAGCACAGAACAGCGCAGCAGAGAGAGCAGGGTGAGAGAGCAGGGTGCGCACCCGCGGTCACGGCGGGCGGGATGTTGATTTCCAGGCGCTTGGGCAGGGTGATGAGGGCGGGCAGGTCTTTGGTGAAGAACTTGGTGAGGAAGGCCTGCAGGAGGAGGTGCAAGTGGAAGTGAGGAGGGTGACCAGGGCAGGCGAGGCTGGTGTGGGTGGCAGGGAGCAGGCAGGAAGGCAGGACAGACATGCGAGGCCAGGCTGTGGCCAAGCAGGGAGCCCGCCGGGCCGGGCAGACGGTGAAGGGGCGGGATCTAGACGCAGGCCCTGCCCGCTGCCGAGCTTGCCTGCAGGATGGGTATCTTCATGAGGCGGATGCGGTTGTAGGGGTTGAGCTGCACCTTGACTGCAGGCGGGGAGCAGATTGATTGGTTTCAGTTGTCTGCACGGCAGGGAGGCAGGCGCCTGGCGCCCGTGACCACCAGAGTCGAGCCCGGCAGCCCCGCCACTCACTAGAGGGCGCCCCCACGAAGCCGAGCCCCAGCGTGCCAATCCACGGGCACATGGGCGCCAGGCGGATCTTCAGCCACAGCTTGCTCTCCAGATCCAGGTCTGCGCAGCGCGGCGGCAGCGGGCTGGCAGGGCCGGCATCAACAGGGAGGTTGCACCACGCCACCGCAAACGCCAAACGCCAAACTTAAAGAATGTGACCTCGGATGCATTAGCAGGACAGGCAGGCTGGGTGCAGCGGCTATACCAGGATAACGGGCATCAAGGGGGGCGGCAGCAAGAAGAAAGAGCCGCACCTGACACCATTACCGGGATCTTGATGCGCCACCGCCCCGTCCCCACTTCTATGAGCAGCAGCATGCGCGCGCCGCCCGTGTACCGCACATCCACCACGCCGTTGAGGTCGGAATCCTGCGGTACATGCAGTGCCATGCAGGGTCGGCGCCAGGGCGCCGCGCGGGACGGTTCCAGGCGGTGTTGCGCAGGCGCCTTGCAACCAGCTGCCTGACCTGGCCCCTTGTGCTTCTGACAGCCACAGGCCCAGTAAAGAGCAATGAAGGCGGGCCACATGCAATGGAGACGCATGCTCATGTCTGTCCCTGCTGCTCGCCGTTTGTTTCGTCCCATGTCGGGCGCACCTTGCGGCTGGTGCGGCGGCGCATGTTTGTGAAGTAGGGTGCCTCGTGGTCCAGAGTAAACTCCATGATGCGCAGCCGCTGCGGGTGGGCAGGTGGGCGGTGTGGTGTGCATTCATGTTTGTGGTTGTTGTGGTGGTGGTGTGTGTCTCGAGGCATGAGGAGCAGTTGGCAGCGAGCAGCAGAGGGAAGAGGGGTTTGAGGCGCACCCACCACCCGCCACACACACCAGCAGTGCGCAGCCCTGCCCCCACCTGCACGAAACTGGGCACCATCTTCTGCTCCACCAGCGTGTCGAACAGCGGCTGCAGCAGGTCGGCCAGCCAGCGCTCGATGCCGCGCTGGTACACCCGCCACGCCTGCAGCAGGCAGGGCGCGAGAGAGGGGAGAATGCAGGTGAGGACGCGCCGCGGCAGCCAGGTGAAGAGGCGGCGCAGCAGGCAGGCAGGGGCGAGGAGCCAGATGGCAGGCAAGCAGGCAGGGAGGCATGGCAGGCTGGCGGGGAGCCACGTGCGCGGGTGGGTTGCTGGCAGCATCTGGGCTGAAACCGCCGCCCAGCGCCGCCGTCGCCCCACAGCCACCCAGCCCCACCACCCACCCTCCCGCCCTCCCACCAGCACCCACCTTGCGCCAGCACATGTTGACCCACTCCACCGACTCCTCGTCCTCGCTGTACTGCACCAGGGCGGTCGTACCGCCTGGCCCGCCGCCGCCGCCGCCCCGCCCGCGCCGCGCGCCCTCCTCCTCCCGCGTCGGCGGCAGGCTGGGCTCCTTGGGCTCGTGCCACCACACAAAGCGCTGCACCAGGCTGCGCACCACGGGCAGCGTGCCGGTGAAGTTGACTAGATAGTGGAGGGCCACCGCTGCGATGGCACCCAGGGTGAAGAAGCGGATCTCCACGCCCGACGGCGCCTGCGACGGCGGCCGGATGGCATGAGACACCGTGCGGTGGGGCAGCGGGCGGCGAGCCACGTAGGGCGCCGCCGCGGCTGCCAGCCCTGACACGCTGTTGCCCGCGGTGGCGGGGACGTCCAGCGGCAGCGGCGGACGGCCGCTGGTGGACGCTTCTAGCTGCTGCGTCACGCCCACGCGGCCGGCCCCGAAGGCCGCCGCCTGCACGCCATGCTGCTGCTGCTGCTGCTGCTGCAGGGGCTGCGGGGGCTGCGGCCGGCCCTGCTGCTGCTGCTGCCGCCGAGCGCGGAGCTCCTGGTGCAAGGGCCCCCACGCCGCTGCGTCTGCGGTGGCAGAGGTTGCCTGAGCCACCATCTCGTCCTCTGCATCCCACTCGTCCCACCCCGGCTCCTGGCCGCTGCCAGAGGCGGCTGGGGCCGCTTGGCGCGGTTGCGGCGAGCGGCGCTGCCGAGGCCGCCGCCGCGACTGCAGCCCCGCCAGTCGCGGCGGCGGCGGGCCGCTACGGCGAGGCTGCTGCTGCAGGCAGGGGTGGAGCGGAAATCGTGGCATCGGGGATCGTGGCTCGCCGTTGGCGGACGGGGAAGCTTGCAGGAAGAGGGCGGACAAACTGCATGGCAGGGGCCGCGAGGATGGTGCATACCTGTAGGCCGGGCACCACAGGTCTCAATCCAATAGCTCGTGTGCTGATGAGGCTCCCCCTACAGCTGCCGCTAGGGTGCCCCGCACCCGGCCGCAAGCCCGTCATGGGCTGCAGGCTGCTGGCAGGGGCTCTGTGCTGCAGTAAAGGACCGATGGGCAGACTGGGAGCGCCGGGCAAGCCCACCCGAAATCACCTGGGCCAGGCACAGCAGGCAGCGCCGATCTCGCCGCCCGCAGCGTGGCTATTGTGGGGTGGTGCTCCACCCAGTTGTGCAGGCAAGACAGAGGAGACCCGGATATGTGTTTAAAAACGTGCATGCACCACACTGAGGTTGCAAGGAGCAGCGCTCAATAACGGTTCCAGAGCCGGCTCGAGGCTGCGGATGGCCACCCGGGTTCAGCCGGGTCAGCCGGGGAGCTCAAGCCGTGTGTTCTTGCCATTCCTCCCCGCACATGCAGGCGCAATCATTCAAGGGTTACAGTTCATGGCTGTCCACAAGCGCAGGGCGCCATGCCTTGCTGGTGACGCAGGGCCTGGTGCTCCAGTGAGCTTGCTCCCGAAGACTGACGCTGGGGCCACTCGCTGCCACTGCTGCGCTGCGCTCAGCTGCGCAGCTTGCCGAAGATATGCAGGACAAAGACAAACACGATAAAGCTAATAGCTGCCACAATCACCGCTTGCTGCAGCAGCAGCGGCGCGGGGAAGGGGAGCAGCGGTGCGGTTTGGTTGGCAGGGGACGAGTACATGTGCGGGTGCGATGGGTAGCCCGGATGAGAGCTGTTAACTGCACACGGGCTGCAGGTCCCAGCCTTGCAGAGACGCAGCGGGCGCCCAAGCCCCCCCAGCAAGTGCATAGAGGTGGCACCAGGACTCACCGGCGAGAGCTTGAGGACCGAGGAGGCGTCTGTGTAAAAGTAGCTAGAGCCCGACTTGCCGCGCCCTGCCGCTGCATGGGGACGGATGAGGGGCGACGCAGGCAGCAGGCATTCAGCGCAGGGCCCACAGCGAAGCGACAGCGGGCAGGCGGCAGCGGGCGTTGGCAGCAGGCTGTGCCATCACCGGCCTACGGGGGACCCTGCGCTGCCCGCGCTGCCCGCCACTCCGCCCTGCCTCTCTTGCCACAGGGTGCAAGGGGGCCGCAGCTCGCACCTGAGCTTCGCCGCCGAGACACCGCGCCATCGGAGCGCTTGGCCAAGGGGCCTGCCATTTTGTGTGCTTGTGCTGTGACGGGCTCAGCGCCCCGCTCCAAGCCCCAGGGAAAGACGGCTGTTCCAGGAGCCCGATGCCCCGTTCAACGTCGCTGGGTGGTGCGGGAGGTGTGACCGGCAGCAAGATAGACGGCACAGGTCCAGCCGGAGGCGATGGCGGCACCTTTGAGAAAACCCAGCCGCTTTCCAGCAACGTGCCCCAAGAAAGTGGCGGGTCCTGTCGATTCACACCCCCGAAAAGGCCCGCATTCGTCCCGATCGCGTCCCTGAGGACAAAAGTTTTTGATCAGAGCAGCTGGGGGGCGCCCCGGGTTTGGGCAAAAATGGGGAAGGTGCTGCTGGGCAAGGCCCACCGTTTATGGCTGGTGTCCGACCTGGATGGGCCAATGGTGGGTGGCGCCTGGGGTGCAAAGCCGACCGCCGCGTCGCGCACCCAGCTCCCCTTTTGGGGGCAGCAGCGACGGCGTCCAAGGGAGCCGGCGCCCCGCTCCACCCCCACCGCCGCCACTACCTCACTGCCGCAGGTGGACCACGACGACGGCACCCACGACAAGCTGCGCGCCTTCAACCGCCTCTGGCTGGCCGAGTTTGCAGCCGACTCGGTGCTCGTCTTCTCCACCGGGCGCTCGCCTGAGCTGTTCCATGAGCTGGCGGTGAGCCGCAAGCCGGCAGGAGGCACATTTAAGCGATAGTATGTGTCGCCAGTATGTGTACAGCTGCAGAGTGTACCGGCAGGCAGCCCACAGCGAACCAAATGCCCTCACATGCCTTCGCCTATTGGCGTACGCTGGATGCATGCGTGCAGGGCGAGGTGCCGCTGCTGACGCCCGACATCCTGGTGTGCTCCGTGGGCACCGAGATCCTCATCAACGGTGCGCCTGCGGGCAGGCATACCTCTCCGCCTGAAAGCAGCACAGTCCCAGCGGCAGGAATGCAGTACGCCGCTGACCTCCCAGGCCCACAACTAGCAGCCCCCCATATTTTGCCCCTCGCTTACCCTGTTTCTCTGCCGGCTGGCCGCCGGCCGCCTGCTGCAGGCCAACCGGACGAGGAGTGGGAGGCGTACCTGAACCAGGGCTGGGACCGGCCGCGCGCTGCGGAGATTGCGGCGCAGCTGCCGGAGCTGGTGATGCAGCGAGACAGCGAGCAGCGGTCCCACAAGATCAGCTACAAGCTGAGGTGAGGTGAAGCGCTGGTGTCAAAGAGGGGTGTGGTGGTCAGCATGAGCGGAGATGCAGGATGGAGCGCGCAGTGCTGCGCTGGGACCGCTGCTGCGCTGCCACTGCGGTCCCAGCGCCTGGCACGCTTGCTCCCCTGCAACATTCCTCGCTGCTCACATCGCATCCCCCCAACCGCCTGCCCCGCCCCGCATTCAGCGTGCCCGACCCCGAGCGTGTGCTGGGCACGCTGCGATCCGCGCTGGCGGCCGCCGGCCTGGACACTGTTGTGATCTTCAGCGGCGGCGTGGACGTGGACATCCTGCCCAGCCGGGCCTCCAAGGGCAAGGCGCTGTCCTTCCTGCTCAAGCAGGTGGGACGCCCACCAGCTGCTGGTGACGGTGCTGGTGGCAATGATTTTGGTGGTGGTGGTGGTGGTGGTGGTACTGCTGCTGCTGGTTCTTGCGTCCAACAACAGCCCAACGTCCTGCCCTGCCCGCAGCTGGAGGAGAAGGCAGGCAGCCTTCCGGCGGCGGGGGTGATGGTGTGTGGCGACAGTGGGAACGACATCGAGCTCTTCGTGGTGCCAGGCAAGCCGGGAGCCAGCTCATGTCAGCTGCACTGCCACTGAGGCGAGCTACTGCCTATGTGGCCTGCGTGCCGCGAGGCACGGCGGACACATGGGAAGCACATGCCGCGGCACGGCACCGCAGAGCGCAGCAAGCACAGCAGCGCTTGTTCTGGCACCTGCAGGCGTGCATGGCTGCATGGTGGCCAATGCGCACCCGGAGCTGCGGGAGTGGTGTGAGGCCAATATGCACGACCGCATCTTCCGCGCCACCCGCAACGGCCCGGGCGGCATCGTGGAGGCGCTGCACCACTTCAGGTCTGCAGTTTCTTTTTATGTTTTCCTTCCGTAACCGCGTGTTGGTGCTGGCTGCGGGTGGCGGCAGCAACACAGCGCCAACTGCCGCCGGCTGGTAGCGCGCTGGCAATTGGCTGGCAGCAACAGGCATGCACTTGGCTGCGGTCGTCGGGCGGGGTGTTTTTGCCCCGTATTTTCGGGTCGAAACTGTTTGCCGGTGTCCCTCGGCTCCCCCCACCCGCCGCAGCTTCCCCAACCCCTCCAAGGCCGACACGGTGCACCGGAGGCAGGCGCTGGTGGGCAACCTGGCTTGGTACGAGGACTGGTGCAACGCCAGCATCCCAAAGGACGATGCCGCGTGCATGGAACAGATGCAGGTGCGAGTTTGCTAGGGCAGCGGTACCGGCGTCGCTGGCAGCTTGCCACATGCGGGATAGGGATGCTGCTGTTGGTCTGCCTGCAAGCTGCTGTTGTTGGCTTGTTCGATTGCAGCTCATGGATGATAGCTTCGAGTATGTGCACCCCAGCGGCAACATCATGACCAAGCAGGCGTTTGTAGAATGGTTCTCGACTGAGGGCTATGGCCACACAGCATCAGCGGCCACGGCCACGGCTTCCCCCAGCAGCGGCGATGCGGCAGCCACCGGCAGCGGCAGCAGCAGGTACTGCATGTGGCTCGACCGCTACAGCGAGCGCCAGCTGGCGCCAGGAGTGTGGCTGGCCCGATACATGGAGCTGCACCAGCCCTTTGCAGGTGCGCGCCGCTGCACTGCTGCCATGCTGGCTGTGCCTGCTGCTGCGCCATGTTAGCTTGCATGCAGCATGACCTCTTCAAGTGGCCATTCAAGCGCTGCTGTTGACGTGCCGCCTGCCCGCCTGCCTTGCTGCCCTGCGTTGCAGCGGGGAAGCACACCAGAGAGCAGCGCAACGGGCGGTGGGCTAGCGTCGTCTTGAACCAGCTGGCAGACGGCACGTGCCGCATCTCCTACATCCACGAATCGCTGGTGCCGCAAGCAAAGGCGCGAGCCTGAGCGCTCCGGGGAGGAGGCCTGTCTGGCAGCATGACGGCTGGCAAGGCACTTCTGTTTGAATGTTCAACGGCTGCTAGCGGCATGCACAGCAAGCAGGGTTGGATGTTTGCGAGGCAGCTGTTGCCTTTTTCTCCCGGCTTGGCAGTGTCCTTGCTTCCAGCGGCATGGACGGCTGCAGTTGCTCGTGTTGGCTGCTGAGTTTTTTGCCCAGGGTACTACGTCTCTTGCACATTGATGCATGCAAATGAAACAGATTGATCCAGCGCTGGGAAATGAGATTGATGCAGCGCAGGAATGTGCCAGTGTTCATTTGGTCGCGGCAGGAACTAGCCCTTTGACGGCAAACCAGTCGAGGATCCAATCAGCTGCCTGGATCAGGTGCTGCTTGGCGGGGAAGTGCTTGGCGCCGGGGATAATGATGGTTTTGCAGTCAGGCAGCGCAGCGGCGGCGGCGGCTGTAGCCTTGCAGGGCCAGATGTCGTGCTCGCCGCAGATAATGATGGTGGGGGCGGTCAGGCGGCTCAGCTGGTCAGGCAGGAAGACGCCACTGGGGCCGCCCGGCAGTGGCGGGTAACGCACAATGTGCCTGCAGAGGGCAAAGGCATGCGACGAGCAGGCACCTTCACAGCCAGCTGTGGCCACAGGGACAGCCTGGCAGGAAGCCAGCCAGGCACTTTCCTGCATTGCAGCATACTCACTTCCACCCCATCAGGACAACCTCCAGCTCCTCTGCGGCAGGCTCGTCGCACACGCTGACCAGCGACAGCCAGGCGGTGAGGGAGCAGGGCAGCAGGCGGTACAGCACGGCTGGAAGCATCAGGCGGAGGGCAAATGCCCACGGGTTCACTGCAGCACAGGGACAGAGGAGGGGGATTGCTCAGCATGCCGGCAGCAATCGCCTGAGTGAAGCAAAGGCGCTGGATTCAGCCGCAGCTGCGGAAAGGCTCCGCCGGCAGGCATGCTCGGCCCGCTTTACCGGCAGATAGCCCTCCAGGAGCAACCAGCGCAGCGCCGCGGATCGCCTCGGGCGCCACATTTGCCAGGTCGAGTACTACCGCCGCACCAAAGGAAGTTCCCATGTGGAGCGGCGGTGGCGCCGTGCCCTTGCCGCCGTCAGCATTAGCTGGTGGCACCAGCCCGAGGCCGCGCAGCACCTCTAGAGCCCACTTTCCATACTCGTGCTTGGCAGGATCCAGCTCTGCATCCTGGTCCGGCTCCCCGCTGCAGGAGGCAGGCAGGCAGGAACTGTGGGTGCGTAAGCGGTCAGCGAGTGGATGGCGTGTGCTCTCAGATATAGCATTACCCTGGCAAGGGAAGTCAGTCACGTAGACGCGGAAGGGCTGCCGCTCCAGCAGCGGGTCACACATGCGAACCATGAAAGGGGCAGGGACGCCAAACCCGCTCCACAACACCAACGGCGGCGCATCAGCGGGGCCGCATACGAGCACATGGGCGGTGCCAAAGCTCGTCTCCACTAGCCTCTCCGCATGCTCGTAGGGCAGCGCAGCGAGAGCCTTGTCGTATAGGGCCCGGATGGCGGCCTCACCGGCTGCGCTGCGATAGATAGTGGGCGGCGGCGGGCGGCGGGGCAAGGCCTCCGCCATGGGGCAGCGACGGCGGGCAGCACTCAAACCCTTCTGAAATGTCGTCCAGCTTCTGTGCGGTCATTATGGGCCAGAGAAATGCGAAGAGGCAAGAAGCGAAGCAGCCACGCCTGGAGTGCCTGGGAGTGCCTACGTGTAGCGTGTAGCGGTGATTGTGAAGCTTCTGCGTGCCTGAGCGAAGAAACGAGAGCGCCACTCCCCCTGAGGGTGCAAGCGGGCACTGCACTACCGTCCCGCCGCCACCCGCCGGGCGGACAGGCCCCAGGGGCATCCATGCACTTTTATTCGCAGCTCATTGGCGTTCATTCGGGCACCCGCCTGTACAGGATCCTTCATGCTGCCAGGATGCAAGCAAAGTGGGGGCATGAGGAGGTATTTGCAAGTCTCCGTCGTGAGCTAGCTGGCGGCGGTCCCCGCCAGCCCCCTGGAAACAAAAAACGCCTGGATCCAGTTGTTGAGCTCTGCCTGCTTCTCCTTGCTGGGCAGGTGCTTGGCGCCGGGGATGAAGATCGTCTTGCAGTCGGGCAGTGCAGCCGCTGCGGCCTCGGCGGCGGCATGCCCTGGAGCAAACATGTCGTGCTCGGCGGTGATGACGATGGTGGGTGCTGCCAGGCGGCTCAGCTGCTCACGGGAGAAGCCGCTGTCGCCCCCGGGCAGCTGCGGGAAGGACAGAACGTGCCTGCAGGCAGGAGGTTGGTTCGGCCAGCTTGCACCACGGGTGGGTGGAGCGCAAAGCGCAGCAGGCCGGCCGCTGACTGATGCAACACTGAGACTCGGGGGCGCCACCTGCGGCACCATAACCTGCAACTCCCAACCCACCTCCATGTCAGCAGGATCTGGTCCTGGTCTGGGTCCCACGGCTCATCGCACATGCTCACTAGCGACAGCCAGGCGGTGGGAGAGCAGGGCAGCAGGCGGTAGAGCATGGATGGAAGGATCAGGCGGAACAGGATCGACCATCTGGCACCTGCACAGCACATGGGGGATTGTTGTATCAGTGGCAGGGAAGAGGGGCTGGTTCACAGTTGCCGCATACCGCATGGAGGGCCCGCTCTGCAGGCATTACCTCAGGCAGGAAAATGTTGCCACCACCCCAGCCCTGCTCACCTGGCAGCAGACCGCCGGGCACCACCAGGGCGGCGCCGCGGATCGCCTCGGGCGCCACCACCGCCAGATCAAGCAGCACCGCCCCGCCAAAGGACACGCCGATGTGCAGCGGCGGAGGCGCCTTGCCGCCCTCGGCGCCAGCTGGCGGCACCAGCCCAAGGCCGCGCAGCACCTCCAGGCACCACTTTCCGTTCTCGTGCCTGCTAGTGTCCAGATCTGCATCCTGAGTGCGGCTCCCCGCTGCAACAGGCAGGCAGGCGGGCGGGCGACGTCATGCTGGGGGGCTGGGGGTGCTGCCAGCAGGCAGAGGGACCAGAGCAGTCACCCTACAGTAAAACCTTTGCTGCTTGAGCGCGCCTTGGTAGGGGTGGTCTGGTGCGTACACACGATAGTGCTGGACCAGCGGGTCAAACATGCGGATCATGAAGGGGCCTGGCACAGCCATCCCGTGCCACAGAACCAGCGGCGGCGCATCCGCGGGACCGCACACGAGCACATGGGCCGTGCCAAAACTGGTCTCCACTAGCTTCTCCTCATGCTGGTAGGGCAGCGCAGCCAGGGCCTTGTTGTAATGAGCGTGTAGAGCTGCCTGACCTGCTGCGCTGCGATACAGCGGCGGCGGGCGGTGAGGCAGGGCCACCTCGGCCTCCGCCATGGGTCTCGCCTGCGCGCAGCAGCCACGGCATACAGCACGCACAGCTCTGGGTTGCCCCGTCTGGGCCTGAAATGCGTGCCGAGATAGCAGAAGCGTGGCAGCCACCCGCACCTATCCTGCTGAGCCTCGGCTGGGCTACAACGGCGTCTGTAACGCCTCTGGCGTGAATGAGGACAGGTCAGAGCGAGCCGCCGCACTGCTGACAAAGCACTGCAGTCCGTCCCGCCTGCCGCCGCCGCCGTACCGTTGACGTGGCGTGCATGCAATTGCACTGTACAGTGTTTTGATGCATGAGCATATCAGCTGAAAGACTCACAAGACAAAATGAAAGCATTCCATGGGCCCAGGGCTGCTGCCGTGCAGTCCCGGGTCGTGGGCAACCAGTGCCGCAAAACCTGGCAGCGGCGCTGACTGGCGATGAGACTGATGAGCAAGCAGCATTGAGAGTATTAGATGCTCTCCAGCTGCATGATGTGTCACCAGCGGTGATCCTGCATGCCGCGGCTCTGATGCCGTGCGGCACAGCATCTGTGAAGGAAGTGACCTGCGTCTGAGCTAAGTGGCGAACCCTGCCAGCCCCCTGGAGGCAAAGAACTCCAGGATCCAGTTGCTGAGCTCTGCCTGCTTCTCCTTGCTGGGCAGGTGCTTGGCCCCAGGGATGACGAACGTCTTGCAGTCTGGCAGCGCAGCCGCGGCAACCTCGGCGGCAGCCTGGCCCGCCCAAAAAATGTCGTGCTCGGCAGTGATGACGATGGTGGGTGCTGCCAGGCGGCTCAGCTGCTCACGGGAGAAGCCGCCGTCGCCCCCCGGCAGCTGTTGGTAGCGCACGACGTGCCTGCAGGGCAGCAGGCCGCTTCACAGCAGGTCGATATGTGGCAGGGCGATGGAGGGAGGAGCACGGTCATCCACTGCGGTGCCCGCGCCACCCACCTCCAGTTCAGCAGAATCTGCTGATGGGCGGCATCAAACGGCTCGTCGCACATGCTGACTAGCGCCAGCCAGGCGGTGAAGGAGCAGGGAAGAAGGTGGTACAGCCTGGCTGGAAGGATCAGGCGGAAGAGAAGCATCCAGCCGGCAGCTGCAGGGCGATGCGAGGAGGGACGGCAGGCGGCAGGGGCGGTGGAGCAGCTGCGCCGGCGCAGCATGGTGCTCGGAGTGCCGCTCTGCCGCAAGAGCGCAAATGGCTGTGAGACATGCCGATGCTGCATCCTCCCGGGACACCGAGCAAGGCCGCGGATGCTTCAAGCAGAGGCATCAGTTGATAGCCACCAGCCCAGCCCAGCCCACCTGGCATCAGCCCGCCGGGCACCACTAGGGCGGCGCCGCGGATCGCCTCGGGCGCCACCACCGCCAGATCAAGCAGCACCGCCCCGCCAAAGGACACGCCGACGTGCAGAGGCGGAGGAGGCGCCTTGCCGCCCTCGGCGCCAGCTGGTGGCACCAGCCCAAGGCCGCGCAGCACCTCCAGGCTCCACTTTCCGTTTTCGTGCTTGTTGATGTCCAGCTCCGCGTCTTGAGTGCGGCTCCCCGCTGCAACAGGCGCCGGCAGGCGGGAGAGCGACGTCACGTCATGCCGGTCATGCTCGGGCCCTGCCAGCGAGCAGGGGCACCGAGGGCTCTCTCCTGCGTGATATCAGCAGAGGGATGCAGGCTAGCCACATGAGCTCACCTTGGAAGGGGTGGTCTGGTGCGTACACACGATAGTGCTGGACCAGCGGGTCCAACGTGCGGATCATGAAGGGGCCTGGCACAGCCATCCCGTGCCACAGAACCAGCGGCGGCGCATCCGCGGGACCGCACACCAGGACGTGCGCCGTGCCAAAACTGGTCTCCACTAGCTTCTCCTCATGCTGGTAGGGCAGCGCAGCCAGGGCCTTGTTGTAATGAGCGTGCAGAGCTGCCCGACCTGCTGCGCTGCGATATGGCGACGGCGGCGGCGGGCCGTGGGGCAGGGCCACCTCGACCTCCGCCATGGGTCTCCCCTGCGCGCAGCAGCCACGGTGGGGAGCACCAAAATCGTTGTCGGCGTCAGTACGCCTCTGCGTTGCCCCATTCTGGGCCAGAAAGGCGTGCCGAGATAGCAGAAGCAAGGCAGCCACCCGCACCTCTCGTGCTGAGCCTCGGCTGGCTACACCGGCGTCTGCTGATCCTCTGGCGTAGTTTGGCGCGAATTCGAACAGGTCAGAGCGAGCCGCCGCACCTGATGACAAAGCACTGCAGTCGGTCCCGCCTGCCGCCGCCAACCCCTCTCTGCACTGAATTTGATGTGCATGCTTGAAACAATTCCACTGTGCAACGCCTGGAAATCTACTGCGCATATCAATGGAAACGCTCGTGAAGGTCGCCAACCGCTGCAGCAGGGTTGCCATCACGGCATCACCCGCTGGCGTCAGCGGCGCTGACCGGTGGTGCACTCGTTGAAGCCGCAGCATTGAGGGCCAGGTCTTGGACGATTGCCAGCTGCAGTCACAGAACACCCTGATCACCAGCGGCGATGCTGGTACTGCATGCCTCTGATGCCGGGCAGCATGAGCATGAGCGCGCGAGCAGGTAGAGACAGGTGCCGGCTGCCAGCCCGGCTCACCGTGGTGTTGCTGGAGTAGCCGGCAAAGGTGGGGGCAAAGATGTCCTTCACCACCGCCTGGCACAGCTGATACAGCACCGAGTGCCTGCAGCGCAGTGGAGCAAAGTATTGTCCCAGAACGGACCCATCCAGGGAGCGGCACGCTGCTGTCATGAAGCAATTGAGGAGTCCATGCGGCACCATGCGGCATGCATGCTGCTGCGGGGCCTTGCCTGAAGGAAGCCTGCATGGCGGCCACGTCGTCCAGCCACTGCTGCTGCTCCGGCGGCATCTGTGCTTTGAGCTTCTCCGCTCTTTCGCTGGGAGCGGGCGCTGCGGCAGCAGCAGTGTGCACACTCACGACACATCAGCTCCCATCAGGGACAGACAGCGGCAGGGCCAATGTGGTCCATGGGGTGGACACCATCTCTGCTAGTATGTGCGTGCTGCCAGTTCACCTGAGCGACCGCCATCCAGGCGGACCTGCCAGCCATCCCAGTCAATCGTGTCCCCCGCTGTGGCGCCCCAAAACATGGCCCCCGCTGCGGGGCTGCTGGCATTCTGCTGCCAGGCGGCGCGGAACGTGGCCTGCACCAAGCGGAACAGCTGGTTGCGCCGCCGCTCGTCCCACTTCTTGTTGAATTCCTCCAGCACAAATGGCTTTCCTGTAACTGCCGAGCTGGCATCGAAATGGGCCTGGATCCACCCCTGGAACCTGCACCGCATGTAGCGGCAGACCATGCTTGCCACTTGCGTGAGGCAGCGAAGGGCAGCAGTCTGCCAGCCAGCCAGGGCGGCGCACCGCTCACCACTCCATCACGCAGTCCCAGCCGCAGTCGCTGCGTGAGGCCTCGTCCCACGTACCCCTGCAGCAGCCGGGGGGCGTTCACTCCGCTGGATGTGTGTGAGGCACAGAAAAAAAGATGCGTGTGCCAGTGGGCCACCTCACCTCATCTCTTCATACATGTGGGCTGCACCGTAGTGGATGTGCGGCAGCAGCGCCAGCTCAACAAAGTCCACGCCGCTGCACAGCGCCCAGGAGCCCGGGTTGGCGGCAATGTACTGCAGCGGGTGGCATTCATGCGAACGCCGTTTTAGCGGCGGCGGCACGCATGCTGTGGTGGCAGCCAGGTGGCCTGCCCAGCAGCCACAGCAGCCCACGTGCCGGCATGCCCCAATCTCAGCCCCACCTCTGGAGCGGTTTCGGTGAAGTATCCCTCGCTGCCCACGTGGATCATGTGGTTTGGGTCCACGCAGCTCAGGAAGGCGCTCATCTCGTCCGCCCAGGCCGACAGCACCGCGCCACGGGTGGCGCCGGGGCAGGCGGGGCACCTGCACAGCGTGGGACATGCTCGCCTGTGTTGCAGCATAGCTGCCAGCCAGCTTAGCACGCCAGTTCCCTGGACAACACAACAGACCGCGGCTCGTTGACGAGGTCCCAAGAGAAGATGGTGGGGTCATCCTTGTACTTGACCCCCGTCAGGCTGCTGGCCCGGTTGGCGATGTGGCACAGGTTGTGGCGGTACAGCAGCTTGACCCGCTCGTCGCGATAGAAGTCCAGCACGGTGTAGCCTGCAGGGCAGAGGGAGTGGCCGGGCTCAGGAATGGGCGGACCAGCCTCTGCCAGCGGCAGCCGGCTGGCTACCGAGTGCAGGCGCCAGATGCAGGCGCCAGCTGGCTCGTTGACTGCCCAGCACAGCCCCAGCGGCATGCTGCACCAGCACCAGCCAAAGTCACCTGTCAGATTCAGGCTGCCAATCACCCATTGGATGTATGGCTCGATGCCAGCAGGGCTTGGGCCAAAGACGGCATGGAAGTCTGCAGGGGCATGCTGTGCATCGAAGCCCTGCTCGCTGCCAGCCGCCAAACACGTGCGGTGAGCGTTGAAGGGCCGGCTCATGGCTGGGGAGGCAGCGGACAGTGCCCGGCGCCGGCACCACCAGACACCACCAGACACCAGAGCCCACCTGCCAGGGTCAGCACAAGTTTGATGCCGTGGCTGGCGGCCAGGGAGAGCAAGTAATCAAGACCCTCCAGCACAGCCTCATCCAACACGCCAGGCGCCGGCTGCAGCGTCAGCCACGGCAGCGGCTCCAACTGCAGCGGAGCGCCATGCACGCAGGCAGGGGCAGGTGGGCGCACAAAGCGCTGCCATGGTCGCTGAGCTATGGGCCTGACCTGCTGCGCCTGCGCCTCCATCCAGCCAAAAGCCGATCTGCCAGCATGCCACCACAGCTGGCTGGGCCGGCCTGGGGATTTACCTCGGGCTGCAGCCGATCAAATTCATCCAGGAAGGGCGGCCGCACTTTGATACCATTGGCGGTGGCAAACACCCGCCCCACCCGTAGGCCCAGCTCCGCGGCGTTGGCAAACAGCGACTGGAGATTGTCCAACAGCTGGCTGCTGTTGCTCGCCGCCCAGCTCAGTGCCTGAGAGAGCAGGGGGAGAGGCAGGGCAATGATGGCGTGGGGCGCCAGCCACAGAGCCGTGGCTGCTCGTAGGTGCAACACCAGGCTAGCCAAGCGGCGGCACACCTGGGCGGCGTTGAAGCCCGCGAAATAGAAGGGTTCGTCATGCAGCACAAACTGCGTGCCCTGGGCCTGCACAGAGTGGTTGGGCGGCTGGTGCGAGCCTGCAGGCGGGGGAAGCAAGGGTCGGCGTGCAGTTGGGCAGGGAGTGCACTTGAGCTGCGGCGAGGAGCCCAGCGGGCACCCAACACAAGGCATCGAAACATTGCGCCCCTCGACAATTGGCCTGCTGAGCAAGGCGTGGAGCAGGTGACCGACCGTACGAGCCTTCCAGGGAGTCCTGAACGCACTCGCACAACTCTTCTGCCAGGCGGCGGTAGTCGATGGGAGGAAACTCCACGACCTGCCCCCATGGCAGCACCTCCCTGCGGGCGTCAAGGCGGGGTGGAGAACGGGCTTGTGCAGAGCTGCTGGGCGGCAGGCACTGGTGGAGAGTCAACCCCACGGTGCAGGCACACAGGCAGCCTGAGGGTGGGCTCGCCGCCGCCGCCGCCCCCGCGCGCCGCCGCCATGGATCGAGGTGTCTGGCAGCCTCGTCCCAGGCACCTGGTGCTGTTCCTCTCAGCGCTCCACTCGTCCAGGGGTAGCTCCTCCAGCCAGGCGCAGTCGAAGCAGGAGATGTCGGGTGGAGCTGCTGCTTGCCCGGCTGCAGCCCAGCCCAGCAGCAGGGCTGCCCATGCTGCTGCTGCTGCTGCTGCTGCCCTGGCATCAACCATTATGCTGGCTCTGCAGGTGGTGCTGCCCGTGATCTTGGCCTTGTCCTTTCTTCCAGGTTGCTTGCACGGTTTTGCTCATTTAAACGGTCATGCATTTTCATTTCTCAATCTGGGCAAGACTGGATGCCTGCTGGAACTTCATCACGTTCATCACGCAGCTCTGCTGGGCAAAAAGGGCCAGGGCCCAACCCCTGGTGCGCAGGGTCAGAGCAACACCCAATGATCGAGGTGCTCAGCACAGCCCCCTGGAAGCAAAGAACTCGATGAACCAGTCAGTGGCCTCTGCCTGCTTCTCCTTGCTGGGCAGGTGCTTGGCCCCAGGGATGACGATCGTCTTGCAGTCCGGCAGCGCAGCCGCGGCCACCGCGGTGGCGGCATGTCCGGGTCAAAAGATGTCATTCTCCGCGGCTACGATGATGGTGGGGGCAGACAGGCGGCTCAGCTGCTCAGCAGGGAAGCCTGTTGACCCCCCGGGCATCTGCGGGTAGCGGACGACGTGCCTGCAGGCAATGTGGGGGCAGCGGGGCAGCGCAGGTGCCGCGCGGGCAACCGGAGAATGCTGGGAGTGTGGCAGGCACCTTGCTGGTAGCTGCTGACTGACGTGATTTTGTAAAGGGCCACCCCCTGATCCTACCAACCAAGCAGCCATGTGGCCAGCCGCCGGCGGAGCGGCATGCCCACCCACCTCCAGCTCAGCAGCACCATCTCCAGGTCAGCCGGCACAGGCTCGTCACACATGCTGACCAGCGCCAGCCAGGCAGTGAGCGGGCAGGGCAGCAAGCGGTACAGTACGGATGGCAGCACCAGGCGGAACAAGACGGGCCACGTGGCACCTGCGCGGCACGGCACGGCACAGCATCACAGGGTGAGAAGGTCTCGGGGCGAGTGGGGGAAGACAATCACCTCGATGACTGCCACGCCAGGGCACTGCCCCCAGGCGCATCATCCCTTGTGCGGCATGTGGACAGGCGCACACACCCTCGGCTCATGCAGGAGGAGCTGCCTGCCTCACCTGGCATCAGCCCGGCAGGCACCAACAGCGCAGCGCCGCGAATTGCCTCTGGCGCCACCACCGCCAGGTCGGCGATCACCGATGCTCCGTAGGACGCGCCGAGGTGCAGCGGCGGCGGCGGGAACGCGCCCCTCTTGCCTTTGCCGCCCTCGGCGCCAGCTGGCGGCACCAGGCCCAGGCCGCGCAGCACCTCCAGGCACCACTTGCCCTGCTCGTGCTTGGCGGGGTCCAGTTCAACATCCTCGCTCCGGCTCCCCGCTGCAGCAGGCAGGGAAAAAGCAGACCAAGCATGAGGGCACGCGCTGATGCTGCTCGGCCGCAAGTGGTTTGGAACATGGCTTCACCTTGATAGGGGAGGTCAGGCACGTAGATGCGGAAGCGCTTTATGCCCACAAGACAGTCAGAGAGGCCAGAGCCTCCAAGCGCAATGGGTGCAGGAGTCGACATGCCATGCCACACCACCAGGGGTGGCGCAGCGGCCGGGCCGCACACCACGACGTGGGCTGTGCCGAAGCTGGTCTGCACTAGCCTCTCCTCATGCTCAAAGGGCAGCGCAGCCAGGGTTTTGTCGTACAGGGACCGGATGGCGGCCTCACCGGCAGCGCTGCGATAGATCGTGGGCGGCGGCGGGCTGTGAGGCGGCGGCGGCTGTGCCATGGCAGCCTCCCGCACGCCCCCGCCGTCTCGGCGTCTCGCTGGGTACCAGAAGCGCTGTAGCGGTCGCTGGCGCTGCAGGCCTCAGCAGTAAGCGGGGCCCCGCAGGGGCAAGCCAGCCAGCAGGCGGCAAGGGCTCCACGGAGCGCCTGAATAATGTGCTGGGGGTGAAAAGGCTACTACGCTAGCCTGCAACGGGAGACAAAGCAAGATTTTCTGAGATTCAGGTTCCTGCAGTACCACGCCGCTCCGCCGGCCGCCACACACCCCTGCTGGCCATTTCACCATCCGGAGCATCCGGAGGGAGGCATAATCGAGATCAAGCTACCAGGGGTGGTGTAACACCTCTCTGTCGCCCGCTATCAGACGGTCCAAGCGGTAGCGGGGATTGGGAAGAAACGGGCCGCCGGATCGCGCAGCGGGGCGGCCCTTTCCTCCCCACTCCCCTCAAGATTCCACCTTCAGTCCTCGAGGCCTCCTCCGAGAATGTCAGGGCCCCAAGGAGACGTGTCTGCTACCTACACGCCGGCCTCCCACCTGGGTGAGCGTGTGACAAAGCCTTGGACAGGCACCCAGGAGCCCCCTGCCCATGCGATGTGCACTGCTGTCTCCAGGCTTACCCAACCCTGTGTGCAGCCGTCGACTATGGCGGCGGCGGCGGGGCGGCTGCTGTCGGTGCGCCTGTCGGCAGCGGACGACACCGGCTGCACCGTGGCCTGTGGGTGTTGGAGTTGCACTGCGGGCTGCACATGACGGGCCACCCTCACGCCTGCAAACTGGGCACCTGCACGCTCAGATGATCAGCATCCCCTCCCCATATCATTGCTGCTGCTCGCCGGAGCAGGCGGAGCGGGCGGCAGCAAGCTGGGCACCACTGCAGCGCCTGGAGGCGGCATTGGGGAGCTCATGGGAGGCGAGGTGGGCAGCGTCCGAGATGTGATGGGTGGAGAGACTGGCGGGCTGAGCGATGTGATGGGTGGGGAGACTGGCGGGCTGAGCGATCTGACAGGTATGTGGGCAGCAGTGGCGGTGCAGCCTCACGTGCCGAATACAGCGCCGGGCAATACAGGCCAACCCGCTGTTCAGTTTGCCGCTGCAGGTGGCGCCACTGGCGGGGTGTCAGACGTGACGGGTGGCATGACAGGCGGCCTGTCGGACATCCGAGACAGGGAGGGTGTGATGGGAGGGCTGGAGGATGTGCGCGGCGGCAAGACCGGGGGCTTGGACGACATTCAGTCTGGCACCGGGGCTGTCGGGCGCCTGCGCGACATCGGGCCAGCGAGCCAGGCCTGAGCGGCTCCAACCGGCCGCCCAGCTGGGGAACAGCACACCCCCTGAGAAGCTTTGCTGGCTGCAGATGCTGTCCCTCCCATGCCAACCTTTGCGGTGGGTGTTACATGTTATGGGCATTTATGCATTGGGAGGACAAGTGAGGCGTGGGAAGCGCAGAGACCGCCGACTGCAAATCGCACAAGGTCGGGGCTGGTGCAAGTGGGCGCTTGGGAAAGGTCAGACGTTGCATGCCGCGCTGCGCACCAGGCTGGGGCGCGGCGGGCTGCAGGGTTGATGGTGAGGCAGGGGACACAAGGCGCAGCCTGCCGGCTGGACGCAGTAGATCATTGATGAAGAGAGTTTGAAGGGCAAATACAGGAAAGCAGAAGAAATAGCATTTGGGGCAGACAAGCGTGTTTTCAACCCGAACATCTGGATCTGGGCGTGGCGAGTGGCGTGGAAAAGAAAAACTGTGATAGCGGCACTACCTGAGAGTGCCTGGCTTGCTTGTGTGGGCTTAAAGTCTGGTAAAGCAAGAACTAGCTTGCAACATAGACTCCCCGCCGAAACGGGACGGGAACCGGGCGAAAGCAGAGAAAGCAATAAAACAGGGGTGGAGCAAGGCGACATGCAACGCAAGCAGCTGACAGGGCACGCATCGAAACGTGTGTATGACTGGCAAAGTGGCATGGCGCATTGGGGAGAAACGCAACGGTACGGGAGCATGGGCTGGCCAAACGGCAGTGCGGAACGCTAGGTCACTAGAAAAGCAGGGAAAGGCGCACTATGTATGCAATGAGGGCAGCCCCGGCTCGGGGCCGTTGAGAAAGCAGTGGGCGGGAGGGGGGAGGCCCCGGTGTGGGCGGGCCCCATCGAGGGGGGATGGGGCGCGCAAGCGGCCAGATGGGGCGGGGCGCGGGCGGCAGTGGAGTCCTGCGGCTG